ATATTAGTGCTGTAACCAGTGCCTTTGCTTTTCGTTTTCTGAGATTCAGCTATTGCTGTTTACGGATAAAACATAAAAGGAACTGTGATGGGAATTACCATATGGCACCAATATATTAAGAGTTCTCGTCAATGATTCTCTCGTCTAGTGTCATCTGCTAGCGTTATATAGTAGACCTCCAATTCTATTGTGCCCTATAGGCGTAAGCTCCAACTCTAGGGAGACCTGTTATTAGGATTTGGGAGACCAGCGAAAGCAAAATCTTGCTCAGTTTTGATATCCCAATGTGCCATCCGAATGAGGGCGGTGGTAGATAGGGAAAGGTGGAAATAGAATCAAATTTTTGTCCTTGGCGGCGTTTCTTTTGTTTGAACAGAATATTTATTGCGAACTGCTGCATTTCTTAGTCCTGTTCCAGAAGAAGTTGGCGAAGAAGTCCAACTTCTTCTACACCATATGATAGTGTAAAAGTTACGTACAATAATGCATTACGGATGAGTACAAGAAAACGGGTGTCCACCATTTTCAACCATCAAATCCCTCAGACAATCAGGAACTCGCTTCATTGGCTACAAACCGAAGCAACCCATTTGAGCCCGCCATTTTTACCGAAACCCCCTTCATATCTGGCTACCAACATCATCAAATCGTACTTTGAAAATGGCCAAATACAAGAAGCACAGATATTGTTCGATGAAATGCCGAGGAAAGATGTAGTTGCATGGACGGCCATGATTTCCGGTTATAATTCCTGTAGCTTTCACAAGCGTGCATGGAGTTTGTTTTGTGCCATGATGAGGGACTGTAGAGGCGTGGTACCTAATGAGTATACGTTTTCTAGCACGCTGAAGGCTTGTAAAGGCATGAAATCGCAGTTTTGTGGCTCTTTGGTTCATGGTTTGGCCATCAAATATGCCATGCCTGGATGCATTTACGTGGATAATGTACTTCTGGACTTGTATGCAACTTGTTGTGGGAATATGGATGCGGCAAGCATGTTGTTTGGGGAAATTGGCACAAAGAATGCTGTGTCATGGACAACATTGATTGCTGGATACACTCATCAGGATGATGGTTATGGTGCACTTCAAGTTTTTAGGCAAATGCTACTGGTATGCACTCTCTACATCCCAATTTTGTATGGTCTCTTTCTTCATAAGAAAGAATTTCAGACTAAAATGGGAAGGAGGGGGTGTACACTTGTCATCACTGAATGTAACAAAAATCTAAATAAGATGGCTAGAATCTTAGTGGGTGGTCTATAAAACGATCAGTATACATGAAGTTAGAATGTTGTCAAGGATGTGTTCCCTATATTTGACTCAATAGAGTGGACAAATAAGAAATCAGAAGATGATCAAGTTATACAAATTAAGTGGGCAAATAAGAAATCAGAAGATGATCAAACTGTGCGTATCATTTTATATCAAAGTATCGTATTTTCTCTGAATCTTTTGCTATCCACCAACAGCAACATAAACATGCTATTACAATAACGGAATGTGATAGATGATACTCTTCTAGATTATATGCCTCAAGCTCTGGAAAGAAGTTGAATTAGTTTTTTTTTGTTTTTTTTGTTTGTTTGCTCGGTGTTGGTGGTTGTTGTTGTTGTTATTATTATTATTTATTTTTTGGGGGATTCCGCCTAACAGATGCAGTTGAGGGATAAATTGTAGTGCAAGTCATGATCTGCAAATGATGTTTAAATCTTTTTTTTGTCAATTGTTACGCAGCAAGTCTAAGTTGTCACCTTCTTTTGTGTCTTTTTGGTGGACAGGCAGGAGAGGAGCTGAATCCGTATTGCATTTCAATTGCAGCTAGGGCTTGTACCTCAATCGGCTCATATATGCACAGCAAGCAAATCCATGCAATAGTGGTCAAGAATGGGTTCGAATCCAATACACCTGTAATGAATGCCATCATGGACATGTACTGTAGATGTGGTAGTTTAGGCGAGGCAGATGTCTGTTTCCATGTAATGACTGAGAAAGATTTGATAACATGGAATACTTTAATTGCTGGATATGAGAAGTCTTATCCTAACAAGTCACTCAAAATATACTCCCGAATGGAATTAGAAGGTATTAGTCCCAACTGCTTCACATTTACCAGCATTTTGGCTGCTGTAGCTAATTTGGCAGTCTTGAGCTTTGGAGAACAGGTTCATGGATTAATTGTTAAAAGAGGCCTTGAAGGAAACTTAGAACTGGATAATGCTCTGATAGATATGTATGCAAAGTGTGGCAACATCATGGATTCTCGTAAAACTTTTGATCGGATGCCTTCTAAAAATCTTGTTTCTTGGACCTCTATGATGATAGGATACGGCAGCCATGGTTATGGAAAGGAAGCTGTTGATTTGTTTGATGAGATGGTGAAGTCTGGGATTATGCCTGATCGGATTGTTTTTATGGCAGTTGTGGGTGCTTGTAGCCATGCTGGTCTAGTAGAAGAAGGTTTAAGGTACTTTACATCAATGGTTCATGACTACAATATCAAGCCAGAGCAGGAGATTTATGGTTGTGTGGTAGATTTGCTAGGACGTGCAGGGAGGGTTGAGGAGGCTTATGAGCTAATCAAAAGTATGCCTTTTCTGCCTGATGAAACTGTTTGGGCTGTATTTCTGGGAGCTTGTAAAATGCATAAACGTCCAGAATTGGGAAAATTAGCAGTAAGTAGAGTGTTGGAACTGCGGCCAGGTATTGCAGGGACTTACATCACGTTATCAAACCTCTGTGCTGCTGATGGAAACTGGAGAGAGTTTGCAGCAGCTCGGAAATTAATGAGAAGACTGGGGAACAAGAAAGAGACAGGGAGAAGCTGGGTTGAATTGCAGAATGAAATTTATTGTTTTGTTGCTGGAGATAAGGTGGGTTCTCATATGGAATGGGTTTACAGGGTTCTAGAAAAGCTGCTACAGCATATGAAGGATGCTGGATACTTTCCTGAATTAGATTATTTTCTACATGATTTAGAAGATGGGACGTGATGGTTGCAATTTGGAAAAGCCATGGAGGATCGTGATGTAACTGTGACAAAAATCCTTTGATGAGGCATGAAATAGTAAGAGCATAGCTAAGAGAAAGCCTTAGTGTTGAAGGGAAATAACTTATCAGCAGGAATCAGTTGTGATCTGACGAGCATTACAGGCAAACAACATTTTCCCTACTCCTCAAGATATTCGAATGAAAAGAAGAATGGCCAACAGATGGAACCGTCAGTTTTCTACCGTTTGACAGACGAGAGTTGCTAAAAGCTTTACAAAAGAAGCTCCATCTTCACGGGAGATTAAATATATCAGCAGGATTCTGGAAGTTCTCACAAGGATTAATTGAAAAGGGAGATGTTTCCTACCACTCCCTGCAAAATTCTAAGAAACACAACATAATCTTAGATGGATCGATCATTGTTCTACCCCAGATGCCCGTTTGTATGATCTTCACATAAAAAATTGACAATAATCACATTGAATTATTCATCTGTACGCTGGTTTATATTTAGAGATAAAAGCTTGTATTGTTCTTGGATTTCTCTCTTTTGGATAACTGTTTCTAGTTTGAGAGCACAGCGGCTTGCACAAGTGCTTATCAGAAAAGAAAAAGCTCAAATTTCTGATTCAATAAATTTACTTTTAACAGGGAATGAAACTTTGTGTATGCATAGATTTAACAGGGAATGAGACTTTCTGGCCATTCAACATAATTTTTCCAAATTAGAAATTGAAATGGATTCCATACTTATTGTCAATATGTTATCAAATACTGATACTGAAACTCATGAATTCTCTCCTATTCTAACTTATTGCAGAATACGCGTGGGACAATTCCTTCAGGTCTCATTGAGGCATTACTATAGAGAAGCCAGCCGCTGCACAAACGCTTTGGCTAAGCTGGGTGGAAGTCTACTGGAATCTTTTATTTTGTATCATTTATGCCCTGACTTTATACCCCTACTTTTGGATGATTTGAGGGGTGTTGCTTTTTCTAGGAAGACAGTAATTAATCCTTGTTAAACTGCTTTATTTTTTTTTCTTAATTGAAATGCTGTTGTTTACCAAAATAAAAGAGGAAAAACCAGACGTCCAAATTGAGCAAAACAGCCTGCGAGACTTGCAATTGCTAGTCTGGGATTTTATATTGCCCTCTGATCATTCTCGAATTTCTGTTGGTGAGTGGGAGGGGCTAAAACCATATAGGACACTTCAAACATTCATTCCTACAACATTAGCTATTAACGAAGAGATTGAGCTAGCTGATGCAATTTGAAAAAGAACAAGCATGCTAATTCTGTCACTTTTCTTGCTAGAGGATTTGCAAATGATTCAATGCCTGTGCTTCGCTGAATGCTGCATCTGCAGGAATTTTCTGGTTTATGATAATGCTGTGTAGCCTGTAGGGATAGTTTCCTACATTTGGATTTGAAACAAGTGTCAGGATGAATGCAGTCTGTTACAGAATTCAAGATCGTTCATCTTTCAAACCAGCCTAGATAGCCATAAGCCATGATAATCAGATACAACTACAATAAGATTTGGTAAAATATGGATGTTTTTTAATATCAAAGAATCAATATTATCAACTGTTTTGGTCTATAATCTCATAATTTCAGAGACAAGTAATTCATGTAGTTAGAAGTACCACTTTAACACAGGACATTTAGTCTCCAGATGTTCATTCTGTTAGATCTATCTCTCTTGGCGTTACGCAATCATAAGTAATCCAAGAAATCAGAAGACTTTTCAGTCAACCTAATTTTTGCTGACTGATGACAAAATTAGCAACTGAAATAAACAAGAAATTTTGGACTTCCATACCTACTGCAAAGAGTCTGACCAAAATGTTCTTCAACAAGCTCCATGGAAGTCATAGTGGCTCAATGGCAACCTGCACAGGCTAAATACAAAATAATGACACTGATGGGAAAGCCCTCACAGAGGGTGAAGACAAAAGAAAACGGAACTAGTGTAGGGCAGAGAAATTAAAAAATACATGCCTTTCCATCTTTGCCAAGGCCCAACGAGCCGATCTTATGAGGACAAGAAACAGAAGATCCAAGGCACGTTCAAAGCATATGCTCGGTATAATTTACAACCCACTCGTTCTAGTTTCACTTGTGATGGTAAACCCACAAATGATTATGTTAGTGCTGGCATATTCTCAGGAGCAAGGAAGACCAAGCCATTCAGTAACTTATACATAACATTTCGAGCCTACTCTCTTTAACTGATTCTCTGCATCCTGGCATATGTTACTACCAATAGTCCATGCAAGAACAAGAACCATCTCTGAAGTGGTGAAAACGATGTCGATCCCTCACCGCAATTTCACGATTAAAAGCTGTAGAAATTAGCTTTGCAGCCTCATGACAATCACTACAGATTCGCAAGTTTTTCATTATCCTTATTGGTGTTGGTGATCTAATTGCAATAAGTCCAAAGGCAATAGCAAGCTTCTCACTGTGTCTAAACAAAGTAGTTTCCTTCTCCTCCTCATCAATGTCAAAGAAAACCTCATTGACACCAGGTGCATAACCTAATATTTTCAGTCTCTTAGCCATTTTATCTAACATTATCTCAATCTCTTTCATTTGAGGGTGTGATTCGTCACCTGCCAGGAATTCATGAACAACACCATTGGCTTCAATCATACTGCAACCAGGCACTTTAACAACACCTTGCTGCATCATTGTCCCTCTGATCTCCATAACATCATTCCAATCACCTTTCGAAGCATATATGTTGGACAATAATACATGGAAGCCATCATGATCAGGCTGAAGCTCAATAAGCTTCCTCCCCACCCTTTCTCCCATTTCATTGTCTCCGTATTTTTTACAAGCTCCAAGCAAGGCACCCCAAGTTGCAACATCTGGCACCACAGGCATACTATGAATGAGCTTCTCAGCCTCTTTCAGAAGGCCCGCACGTCCAAGAAGATCAACCATGCAGCCGTAGTGTTTAATATTAGGTTCAACATTGTATATCTTGGTCATCGACTCAAAGTAACCACGCCCGAGATCTACTAGGCCCATGTGTCGACAAGCCCCAAGAACTGCCACAAATGTTATCTCATTAGGTACTACTTCACTTATTTTCATCTCTTCAAAGATCTCAAGGGATCTTTCCACCTGACCATTCATTGCTAAACCAAGAATTAGAGCATTCCAAGTGGAAACCCCCTTATCTTTCATGCCGGTAAAGACTTCCACTGCATTTTCCACACATCCACATTTCATGTACATGTCAATAAGGGTGGTGCCGAGAATGATATTTATATCTAGCCCATTTTTTCTTATATAAGCATGTAACCATTTCCCTTGGTCAAGGGCAGCCACATGGGTGCAAGCTGAAATCACACTAACCAGAGTTGTTTCGTCAGGCCTGACATCCTTCATCAGCATCTCTTGAAACAATCCTAAAGTCATTGAAAATTGACCAAGCTGGACATACCCAGAGATCATTGCACTCCATGAAACAGCATCCTTTTCAGGCATATACTCAAATAAAGCTCTAGCTTTTTCCACTCTGCCACATCTCAAATAGCCAGAAAGCATGGAGTTCCAAGAAAACTGATCCAGAAATCGACCAGCATCAAACAACTTTTCCGCGGCCACTAGATCTCCACAAGAAGAGTACATGTGAATCAAAGCATTTTGGAGATTTACATAAGATTCAAAACCAATTCTTATAACCAGACCATGTGCCAATTCCCCTGTTTTAACAACATACAGATGTGAACAAGCAGAGAGCACACTCACCATCACAACTTCATCAGGAGCAGGCCCATTAGAACACATCTCGCCAAACAACTTCAGAGCCTCTTCATACAGGCCATTTTGCTCATAACACGATATCAAAGCTGTCCAGGAGACCAAATCTTTCTCATCAATTTCCCTAAACAGTTGAAGAGCCTCACTCACCCTACCACACCTACCCAACAGCACAATCATTGAATTAGACGCAATTGTATTCCTTTTAGGCATTTGATCATATATCATCTTAGCTTCCTCAACATTCCCTATCTTAACATACCCAGCCAAGATCGAATTCCACGAAACCAAGTCTGTTACAGGACTTTCATCAAACAACTTCCTTGCATCCCTCACGTTCCCACACACTGCATACATATTAACCAAAGTATTCTGCACATAAACATCACTATCAAAACCCATTTTAATCACATGATCATGAAACTCTCTTCCCTCAAATTCTACTAACCTGAATGCACAAGCTTGGACCATTAAAGGATAAGTATAATTATCTACAATCAAATTATTTTTCAACATTAATCTATACAAAAAGATTGCCTCTTTGGGCTTATTTCTTTGAATGTAGGCTCTCATCATGGTATTCCAAATGAACCCATTTGAGTTCTCAATGTGACTAAAGATTCTGTGAGAATAATCGATATGAACAAATGAAGAATCAGTAGAAAACTTGACAATTCTGCTTGCTGCATATGTATCTCTGAAAAACCCAGTTGAGATCATCTGTGAAAGAATCTGGCTGAATTGACTTAGATTGAAACATTTGCGCAAAAGGGCATCTAAGATCGATGTATTTAAGGTTATATTTGAAGAGGTTTGTCCCTGAAAAGTTGGTTTAATAGCATTTAGCTTTGTCAAATTCATATATCCTTGTGCCTGTGTATTTGCGCGCAAATCTGATAGGTTTTTGAGACTTAAACGAGAGGCTAAAAGCTTTAAGATATGAGTTTTGTCGAGCTATGAACTGAGCTGATTAGTAGTGGTATTTAAGATGTATTTTTATTTTCTAAGATATGACCGTTTGAATTGGCGCCTCCACTCTAGAATCATGTGGCGCGCTTATGGCTTGTTTCGCGTTTCAGATTGCCTCATAGGGGATTCTTTTAACCAATATAATTCAACCCATAGTTATTAAAACCAACCCGGCAAGAGGACCGGGTTGACGGGTCAGTGGTTTAACAGTCAGATCATTAGTTGAACTATCAGATCACATTATATAATGAAAAAGTATATAATATAATTAAATAAACATATAAATTATATATAAGTACAAAAATTTTTAAATGTCAACAAGTCTTAACTTATTCATATTTTATAATTCATACACACAAGCCATATCCATATGTGTTCCTTATTTATGAATTCATATTAATATTATACACAAATCTAAATGTCAAACAAAGGAAAAACCCTAATTCTCAAATCTCTTTTCAATTTTTCTAATCTAATTGTCAAAAAGACAACAATGCCCATGTTGGTGTGATTGGTTAAATTAAAAAAATTTGATAAAAAGGTAATTGCAGAAAAATTTTCAAAACTTGCCGAGTTTAGTAGGTCACCAATTCGACCGCCCAAGTCATACGATTCAAAACGAGTAATCTGCAACTCCGATCCAATTACTAATCCAGCTCGATTCCATGACCGATCCACTAGTTTGACCGATTCAACCGTCGGACCGGGCTGAATCGGCAACCTTCCGCCCCTTTTCTTGCTCTTTCCTTGAGCCTCAAGACTCTAAGGTGGTTTCAAAAACAAAAAATAAATGTATTTCAATGTCAATCACATTCATACATAGAATTCGAGTTTCATAATTAGCTATTAAAAAGGATGATTTTATTTGTTAAACACTCAGTGAATATATATTACTAAAACTTATTACTGTAAAGTTTTCATACTCTCTATGGATTTTTATTAAATTTATTGCCATTCTCTAATTTATCATATCCATAGGGATAGTGATTATAGAATTTAAACAAAATGGCTTCTGAGTTTATAAGATCATATATAATCTATGTTTAACACCAATTCCTTATTAAACTTTGAATTTTTCTGATGGGTGTTTATGCGCATTAACACATCTAAATTGCGTCTGACTCTATACACTAATTTTAACTACATTTTTTCGCATTCATATATTTTCTCTAATTAAATTTATTTTTCTAAAAATTTAACACCTAAATTACATACAGATACTCGCTACACAAACCCTTCAACTTTTGTTCCACGAGCGTACCATAAATTGATGGATATTGTATATGGGTTTGTTTGAAATCACAAATCAGAAACCAAGAAAACTATGTCGAGCAAGGAAGGAAAAGAAAATTTTAGGAAATAATATTGTACTATGTTGCCCTGCAATCCAATGGAAGTTTTAATAGGCAAAATTTGTTTGTTTATTTCTGAATACGGATTTTGTAAATGGTATATGTAATGATATAATTTGAACATAACAAGGTCTATATAGAAAAATGAATAATAATAGCATGACAGCGACGATAACTTTGAAAGTTACACACATACTATAACTTGATAAAATAACGACTGACATAGAAAAGGTAGTGAATAAAGGAAAAATAATGGATAAGAGTTCTCTAACTTCAAAAATTACAGCTTTTGTGATAGTTCTATAGAAAATATGAGTTATGTGTTGGAAGGCATAATTGTAACTGACAAATGCTTTGATCCCTGATTTATACCTCAAGTCAATTAGGAGTATTTCTTTCATTCAATTAGGAATATTAATTTTCAATCAAAGACATATTCGCTTAATGCATTAACAACACTCTAAGAAAACCATGTTGAGGTTGTGAATCACTTGAATTGTGAATAAGATCCGTGAAGATTGCCACAAATTCCTCATGCTAAAGTTGTCAATAAAGGAGGGGTGGGAAGGATATTAAATTAAAAAAAAAAAAAACATGGTCAATGAGGTGGTTGTTATCAATGAAAGGGATAATTTCAGAAACCTCCTTCAAGGTTTCTGAGAATTTTAGATAAATACCCTCTAATACTGTAAATTACACTAGCATACCCTTAAATAACATGTTTGATAACAATTTTAGCCCAAAAAAAGTGGCTTTGAAAGTGGAGCAAAGTATTGACACATAAATTTCTTCCAGATTTACGTCCCTTGTATGTATGAAAAAAATATTTAACACTTTTTTGTGAGGAAGGTGCCAATTTAACGAAAAAAGAAAAAATTGCCATTTAGGACAAAAATGGCTGTTAAGCCCAGAAAAGAGCAGTTGATAGGCAACGGATTTTTCTTGCTAACATATGTGCCAAAAAAATATTCATGCTATTTTAAATGAAGGTATTCTATAGATAAAGTCTTTTGTGATTATCATCAAATAGCATAAGAGCACATTCACTAGCATAGTATTTAAAGAACAAGCATGTTTTCATCAAGTTATCACAAGAACTCAGTTTATTGAGGGACATCATTGAGGATCAAAAATAAACTATGTGACCATGGCGCAAGGTAGCAATTAGAATTTCTAAAAGCGAAAGAAATCTCAAGAGAGGTTTCAAAAATTTTTCCTAATGAAGATGTAGTTCATATTAAACACTACGTGTTCACGCTATTTTTTGGTAGCTAACAAACCAAAAACTGATATAAAAAATATCTAATTTGAGTGATATGAGGTGATGTGGGTCTATGAAAGCATCAAGAGATTGATCACCATCACAAGAGAAAACAACCCCTTGAAAGAAGTGATACTATGTGACATCCAAAAAAAAATCTAGAGGAAAAAAAACGTTCTATAAGAAGAAATATAACTCATTGAAGGATGGGGGGCGGAAAAAAAGGAAATATAACCCGTTAAAAGGAAGCATGCTATCAAATCCATGCAGCGCAACCAACATGATTTTAGATCCCAAACTGAAAAGGATTTAAAGTCGGTGACATTTTTCCTCTCAGCATTCATATCGAACAAGAAGTCTTTCTTTCCGACGCTATCATCGACAAATAGTATAAATTTGACCCTCTTTATCCACGCTTGACTACAGGTTTCCAAAATTTTCATAGTTCATCTCAAGATTAAATTCTTAACACTCCCCCTTAGGGTTCAATTCCTCAAATCTCCCAAGAATCAGCAGTCTTTTTTTTTTTTCCTTTGGAGGATGGCTGACAACTGTAGATGCACTGTTTACATAGGAAATCTAGACGAAAGGGTGAAGGAAAGGGTACTGTATGATATCCTCATTCAAGCAGGGCCAGTGGTGAACTTGAATATTCCTCGGCATAAAGAAACTGATAAGCTGAGAGGTTTTGCCTTTGCAGAATATGTAACAGAAGAAGCAGCTGAATATGCTGTTAAACTTTTTTCTGGCCTCGTAACTCTCTTCAACAGAACATTAAAATTCTCAATTTCTGGGCAGTACCAAGACAAGCCCTCAATCAAATCACAGCCCACGTTAACTTCCTGTCCCAATCTCAAATCGCCGAGGCTTCCGACAGTTTATTACCAAGAAAAATACTTGGGTAAATCTCGTCTTGTAAATAATAAAGTCATGCAGCTAGGGCTTTCTCCAAACCCAATGATGTTACCGACATCATGCAGGTTTCAAGAGCAACAGGTAAGTTACAATAGACCCAATCTTTGTGACACCAAGAATTTTAAGCTCTCGAATGGATGTAGGCCACTTTACAATAATTTTGATTGTGGTGGAAGAGTTTACAAGGCGGCATTGGCAAAAAATATTTCTTGCTCTAGGTTAGGTCGGTATGGTGCGGAAAATTCTTCCAGGTATTATGCCCCTTATTGATTTTTCTCAAGATGGATACATTCCAATTGCAACCCGTCTTGTGGCGCGGTAGTTCAGGAGCCAATTAGAAGGCTATTCTCGTACAGTTTCTCATCTTTCGTGTTTAATTATGTTAGTTTAAAGTATCTACGTGCGTCTAGGGTTACATGGTGTCTTAGGATTTGTTTTCACTTAAAAATAGTTTGCACTCTTTAACTCACTAGCTAGGATTAATTCTGTCAAATAAAAATCATTGATTATATTGAAGCTTGATATCGTGGAGCCGTATGCTATTAAACAGACTATTATTATCAAGATAGTTTCTGTGTTGAGATCTTTGACAAAGCAGTTGTAATCATTTAAGGGATAAATTTCTTTTTCTTTTTTGACAAGCGACTTCTTTGAGAAAGAATTCTGTTTAATTTTGTAATGATAATTCAATCTGTTTTTATTATTTTTTCCCCTTCCCCTTGTGAAAGGCAATCCCAAAATTGTTGATGCATGTATGTATACGAAGAATTCAAAGAAGAAAAAATGGAATGGCTACTAAAAAAATAGAAAAAAATCATGGGATGAACTGATTTGGATGGTTTAGCCGAGTGAGTTGAGTTGTTGAGACAACCATGCTTGCCTAAACTGACCTAGGCACTTCACCAGGTCGACCTGGGTGATGTGCGTTTGACAAGCCAGTCGTGTGATTATAAAAACCCCACAAGAAGACCAATTGTGTGATCATCAAAATCTCACGAGATAGAATATTATCATCACGACTTGTCAGGATGAGATGAACACATTGATCAACCTTGGAATCTTGATCTTGTGATCATCAGGACCCTACGAGGTAGAATATTACCACCAAGACCTATTAGAATGAGATGAACACATCAACTAACCTTTTGATCAGTTCATCATTGTGACCTATATACACTAATCAATTCATAAATATGACCTGCATACAAAGGACCATAGTTCATGAATATGACCCACATACAAAGGGGTTGTTAAAGGACCGCAGTTCATGAATATAACCTGCACACAAAAAGGGTTGTCAAAGACCGGATGGACGGAGTTGTCAAAGATCGGAGGGAAGGGGTCGTCAAGGGACTGGGGTCTAGTCCTTGTGAGGAAAGGGGTTGTTAAAGGACTAGAGTCTAATCCTTAGGATCAAGTTGGTTGTCAAAGGACTGGTGTCTAATCCCCAAGATCAAGTCAGTTTCTAAGAGAGTTAAGTCAGTTTTCGAGTTATTGATAATTTTTTAAAAATAGTAATTTTAAAAAGGAAGTAAAGAGTTGATTGAGTATCAGATGATCTGGTTTGTATCTGTATTTATACGAACAAATGGATCATATGAATGAATCCTTTGATGATATCCCATGAGTTCCTAATGAAGATGACTATCTGGTTACCATCCCATGAGTATGAATGGATCATAATGAACGAACCCTTTGATGATTATTTCATGAATTCCTGATAAAGATGACTATCTGGTCATTATCCCATGAGTTCTTGATAAGAATTTGGTGATTATTTCATGTTATGAAGTTACTAAGGATAAATTTGATAGTTCGTTCACTTGTCAATTAATAACAACTCTCCTAATTTTGAGATAAGCCTTATCTATGGCTTCGGGCACAAACTATAGTTCAGCCATAATATGTAGTTCAGTGATGTATGACCAATGTAGTTAGAGACTACCATAGTTTGGCCATAATATGTAGTTGGGCTATGTATGACCAATGTAGTTCTACGATATTTGATCAGTTCGACCATATATGACAAATGTAGTTAGACACTAATTTTTTCAGCATCTATACCTACCTTTTGGGAAGTATGATTCTCTTTCTCCTCCTTATTCTCTCCAATTAACTTCATGATCTACAAAATCACTTGCACGGGAAGATCAAGTTCGTGAGAGGACGTTGATAATGAAGGTTTTCCTTTTTATGTACGATATGTACATATTCATGGATGGGAAATCATTTTCTTCCTACTACAAACCATATGAACTATATTTTTCTCCAAGAGATTCCACACGAAATGGCATCACACATATACAGGACGAGAGCAAGAGGATGAAAAAAAAAACTTTTCAAACATGCGTTACACTCTTTCCTCTCCTTCAAATTACTCTTCCAATGAAATATACATGTCAATTTTCTTTTTTCCAGTGTGTGTAAGCTCTATCAACTATGTCTTTTTCCATCAACTTTTACAGAAAGAGGTTAGAGACATGAAGGGGCATAGACATTAAGCAAATACAGGCAATACAAACGATCAATAGAACGATTGAGCTGGTAGCTATTAGTTATGAACACAGCTAAAACAGCAACCTAGGCAAGATAAAATTGTAAAAGGAACTCTTAATTCTCTTAAAAAATTCATCTTTTCTATCCGCATAGGAGCTGCAAAGTTCAATATGGTACCATATGACTTGACAACCAAGACTACCAAACAATTGGAGTAGGGGATCAAAGCAGATATTTTATATACCACTTTTAAAACTGATTTTTACCCCTAAATGGATAGACTAGCATCGTGAACTGCAATTTAAAGGAGCGGAATACACTTCGAACTGTCATCCATATATAATTTGAACTATCGGTTTACTTGAAACTACAAAAGTTTTAAACACCAAATTAATTCATGTTTTTTGCAGCTTTCATTTAGACTCGACGGAAAACAAACAAGGGATTAAGCTCTTACATTTCCAGGCCTATGAGACTTGAAACAAATGGCTAGTAGTAATGGTCATTAGCAATACAGACACAATTAGAAGAAAGGGAAATTCAGCAAACTTGTTTAGAAGTTAAAACCAGTTAGCCTGAATGGTTCGACATTTTTATTTTTTTGGGAGTTTGATTGGACCAAATTTTTTAGTTGGCTTTTTTTTTGGGGGGGGTAACGTGTAAGTCAAATCTGGAAACATCTGTTTGCATCTCTGTTTGAGTTAGTAATATATTGTTTATTTTTTTAGTAACATCTGTTTCCTTTATTTTGTATTATCCTTCTGTTTTTACCTTGTATTCTAGTACTCTGATAGAAGCCAAAAATCCTTTTTCACAACTCTTATTATTCCAAAAAAAAAAATCCTATAATCTCATATTACAACTTTTCACTGTAAACCCTCAAATTTCAGTTCTTCCCCAAACCTAGTTTCAATCGAAAACCTCAAACATCCTCTTTACTGACTCTTGATACATACATTGACACAAAAGCATATCTACCTCCCGCCAAATTCTCACCAAAACTCCATAAACCCTAACTAAATAGCTAACGAACTTCCTCCCTTCAAATCCTCTCTTGAATAATGGATTACTTCATAAAAGGTGCCGAAGTCGAAATCAGCAGCGATGAGGACGGCTTTCGCGGCTCCTGGTTCGCCGGAACCGTTATCCGGAAGTTAAAGAATGATAAAATCTTGGTGGAGTACAAAACCCTGATGCAGGACGACTTGAGAAAAATCCCGCTGAGGGAAGAAATCGACGTTGTGCAGCTTAGGCCGCCGGCACCCCGGGAGACTCACCGGGAGTTTAAGGTGAGCGAAGAAGTGGATGTTTATTTTAACGACGGATGGTGGGAAGGCGTGATCACGGGGGTTTCCAAAACTGGAAAGTTTGCGGTGTTCTTTAGGTCTAGTAGGGAGCTGTCGAAATTTCATCCGTCCAAGCTCCGGTTACACCGTGAATGGGTGAACGGCACGTGGGTTCCTCCGTTGGAGATTGAACCAAAAGAAGATAAGGTGTGAGTTAGGGTGCAGAATGCAGGTTCATGAGTTTCTTGATGATTCTGTGGTGTTTGTGCATATTGGTGTGTGTAAAACTGTAAATGTTGATGAATTATTTATTGATGGCTGAGATTGTTATAGTTGGGTGCATGAGAATATTATGCATAGTACATCTGTTAATTCTGTTGTACCTTGAGATTATCGAGTACTAATTAATACCATATTGATGATTTCCGGATCAGTAGAGAATAAATCCAATTTTTAATGTCATATATGTTGCAGAATGTTTTGTAAGTATTTTGTCTATCTTAGTGTTAACTTACTAATGCATGAAGGCGTTCCTTCTGTACTGATTTGTTCAAGTAGGTTATTTAAGCACATACATTAAAACAAAAAAAAAATTCTTTCAGTATATATGTGTTTTGTTAGGTATACAGTAATAAAGATAAGTGGAATTGGATGAAAAAACTGGGGGGAACCGATTCTACAGATTATCTTGTTCTTTACTTATGGTAGAGAAATTATTTATAGCTGACCTCCTCTATGCTATTATTCCGTGAATCTACTTTTGCATTCTGCCATCAAAATTGAATTGCACCAAGGAGAAAATGGAACTGTACGTTGTATGCAAATGCACGTATTCTTGAAGCTGCCATAATTGTATAATGATAATTACTAGTCTATCAGCCTCATTCAATAAGTTTCGCTTCATCTGATCAAATGTGGAACGCTTGACCGAATTTTAGTCATGTTGAGGAAATGCTTACATGATCAATTACCTTCATCTTTATCTGTGAATTGTTGGGGACGGGATATAAAAAAGATATATATATAGCTAAAGTCTGGTGCAACTAGATTTACATAAAGATCTAGAAAATGTGGATACATGACTTTCAGTTTTCAGCTTAATAGATAGATTGTTATCTGATCAAATAGTTAAAGGAACCTTTTGAATACATAATTATGATTCTGTCCAGCTAAAATTTCTGAAGCAAATTCCAGAATCTGTAGAGGTTACTTCACATGTTTGTTCTACATATTATGGGCAAAACAATTAGATGAACGAAATTGTCTGATTGGTGGAACAGCCAAGATCCTGCTGTATCCCCTTGGATTTGTCTGCTATATGGCTATAGAAACAATTAAAAATCATGCTTTGATTGAACAAAACTTGTTATATTCCGCGCTTTTGATTTAAGGTTGTGCAATGATTGTTTTATCTCTGTGCACGTCCACGTCCTTCCTCTGCTTGACTGTTCTAGTGCCTATGAAGGCAAAACCTCAAATAAACCAATGGTTTCCCAGAATCCAACAGTTTTTCACGTGTTGCTTCCTTGATGTTCTCCTGACTGCTTCATTGCGTTTACCACTTTTTTTTTTTTTTTGGAACAACATATGCCAACCTCTTCCCTCTTTGCCAATATTGAACTCCAATCTTCTAACTTTTACTCCTTGCCTGCCCTTCCAGATGTCTTAACTGTCGCATGGCTACTTGTATTTCTCTGTTTGTTTATAATCAGTCCAATTTTAGCATAAAAATTTACTGTTTTTCGGATTGCAGAAAGTGTCCATATTACCAGCCAAACGGAAGCCTGGCAAAGAAACAGTACAGGAGAAATTTAGCCGAGGGGCAACAGTTGAAGTTCGAATAGATGAAGACGGTTTTCAAGGTGCTTGGATTCCTGCAACTGTCATCAAACGATTTGATGAGGACAAATACCTGATTCAGTATCGGAGTCTGAGAAACGAAGAAGACACAGAATTCTTGAAAGAGGAGGTTGCTAGTATAAACATACGACCACATCCACCGGAAACTGCTTTGGTCGACTGTTTCAAAGTGAATGACAAAGTAGACGCTCTTTTCAATGATTGTTGGTGGGAAGGAGTAATATCCAGAGTTCTTAGGGAGAAAAAGTATATAATCTATTTTCCGGGGACTGAAGATGCTGTGAAGTTTAAGCACTCTGACCTGAGGCAGCACCAGGAGTGGATTGATGGCAAGTGGGCCATTCCTTCCTAGGTAATTGCTTCCAGGAGAAACCTCCATTTAACTTTCTGAAGTTTATCTTTCTATTTTTTTAACTAAAAAAGACACCCAAAAAAAAAAAAAAAAAAAAAAGGAAGAAGTTCTCTGAAGTTGAATATCTCTCCTTGCTTTCCTTATGGTTTCCTGAAAATCTGAATTTCAAGTGCTTTGCTTTATGATTTCCTCGAATAACATCATATGTTCATTAACCAGTGAACGGGATCACATCCTATATGTATTGACTCATTGGTTCATTTGATCATTTCACCAGGCTCTGAATTTCTGACTATCTGGCGGAGCAAGACGACATCCTGCCTGTGTGATTTTTCGTCTTCAAACAAATATCGTGTATATGTATTCAGTTGCATGATTCATATATTCAGATATTCTTGCTTATTTTTACTATCCTCTGAAGTCTGAATGAGGACACTAGAGATGAAGGACCTGCCTATTTGCTTTTCTCTTCTCTGATGCATTACCTTGTGTGGTTTAACTAACTAACCCTAAGCAGAAACTTCTAAGTATATGATGCAGTGGTAACTATCTTGCTTGTGGCTTTTCATTTTTTAACTGCACGTTGCATGCAAACGATTCTGGGAGGCTTGTACAATGGTAAATAAGATAAAGAGCAGGCATGGTGAATTTACATAGGAAATTCATAAAGTGACAATAAGTGTTAACCCCAATGTTAACTCCAAACCCCTTCCTTTCCTTAACCTTTATATATAGTAGTATATAGATAACATTTGGTGTAAATTTGTATAGTTTTAACGTAAATGTGAATTTCATCACTCATATAATTGAGTTGGTACAAAATCCACGATTATACTAAAATTGTATAAATTTACACAAAAAATCGCAATACATCAACCTGATGAAATTGGATAGAATTTAACTTGAAAGGTCCTTGAGTCACATCTCAGTGCCTCTGACTGTTGTCATTGTTTGCTTGTATGAGGCTGAGGCTTAAACCACAGAGACAAGAACTCGAGCAGCAAGTTCATGAAAAAGGGGAGGAAAAAAAAAGTCACTGCCTTGTTTCTTTATGTAGCTTGTGCCTGGGGTCAGTGCAACAATACTAAGCAAAATTTTTTTTTTTTACTAAATTGCTAAGCATGGTCTTAGTGTTAATTTTGTGGTGTTAGTCCATGCCTCCTTACATACATGATGGCATTGCAAACATTTGTTTTACTGCCTCTTGTATAAATCAACCACCATGATCAGCCCTTAAATACTATCTTTGCCGCCCTCTGATAGTTCAATTCGAGCTTGTGATCGAGTTACTTGTACGTTAAATGGCTTTATGATCTAAAATTAATTTCCTTAGGCAAAGCACGAAAAACTCGTTATTTCACTGTAGTGTAAACATTTTTTTTTTTTGGTGGATGAAGTTGCAAATTTTTATTTTCAAAATAGATTCTTCTAAGAACTGATCGAGACTTGAGTGATTCGTGGTTGTCTAAAGTTGGACGAAAGTTGATGCTGATTAAGCATTAGAGGCTGGAATTCTTATATACCAACAAAGTCACAAGCCAAATAAGAGAAACATTGGTCAACTTAGGCTGCATTTGATAAAACTGAAATTTAAAAATTAAAAATTGAAATATGAAATCTGAATTCATTAAATTACTGAATTGTTAAGTTCTATATACGATACATTTGAGTGTATATCATATTAAGTGATAAATGAATAGCTTATACTTTATTTTTGGAAGTAAGTTTGTCTAGAAAATTCTATATCATTTAATTAATTCAGATGCTCTACTTTTGATTATCAAAGAACGTGTTAAGATCTAAATTCATAAATTTAAGTGTTGAATTGGATTGTGAGACACGACCTATATATACTTTAGTGCATGGAAGGCAGCAAAGAGTGAGTGGTAGTTTTGCTACGCAACCCAAACGATGGATTTACCATTCAATTAATGCAATTTTATCAGAAGAAACTCTATTGCTTCATTGAGAACATAGAGTAGTATAACACCGCAATCACCCTGCAGAGTAAACAAAGAAGTCTTCAAAACCACACAGAACAAACGCAGACTCAAAAGATTAAATCTTCATGCTCTAAAGCATGAATTAGGTGATATATATAGTGCACTCAAATATCTTGTAGGTGACTCTAATTACCTTATGAATGTTCAAGTTGCCATATATGAATCGCAAACTTAAACCCTTGATTTCACTTCATTGTCAGTTCTATCATTCTTTGTTGTCTTAACCTCTTCAGCTTCCGCCACCTCAAAAGCCGACCGCGGGAAAGTTCTTGTCAGCCCTAGAGGAGACTTGAAAGAGATCTTTCCAGTTGGAGCATCTTCAACTTCTACATCACTCACAGTAACCCACAAGAAGAGCTCCTTGGCCTTCAGTCCAGTCACGGACTTTAACTTCTTTGGTTCAGCATAGGCTGTGATTTCAGCTGCATATTGGGCAAGCTTGTCAATCTTTTCAAACTTTCGCACAATCTTTTGCTTCCGTTTAAGCCAAATAAAGCCAGTTTCTTTCACGAATCCGCATTCCTCGATGTCTTCCAATGGAAGTAGGCAATCTGGCAGCCCAACTTCTTTAAGAAACACTTTTGCTTTCACTTGGCACAACTCTTTCTCATTGTAAATTTCTGATGCACTAGCCCTTATCTCTTGTGTGACTAGAGACATTTTCATTGACCTGAATTCTTGTTTATGCTAGGCAACATAGCTATTTATAAGAGCAAAATTTGGTTCAAGTAATTAATGCTCCTTTTAACTTCAAAATTTGTTTTTAACTCTGATTCTCAAAGAGATATCATGTCAACGTCCCATGAAGATCGACTATTTGACATTTGTAGTTATGTAACTCAAGCTTTAGTTGGGTACAGTACAGCCTGAATCACTAGTAAATGCGTCTATGAAAAGTCAATTTTTAATCCAAAACCATATTGCAAAAATGAATTTGGATGAGCAGAAAGATTTGTCTTGGATATCTAAATGAATATCCAACTTAACCCATTAAAATGATGGTTTCACATCGATTTACATCCATCTGCCAAAACAAGTAATAACCTACTCAAACGAAAGAAAAATGAGATTTGCATGCACCTATCCAACCATTTGCCTTTCTAACGTACACGAAATTGCTTCATTTATATGTAACTGACTGCAGCACCTATCCAACGTTCAAAATGGGATATGTCTTCAATGACGGACTAGAAAATATACTTTGAGGACGCATCTCAGCAACTGCATTTAACCATCCAAAACGGGCACACATTTAGCTCTTCAATTTGCTAGGTACATCTATAAGGAATTTGCTCATACGCAACTTATTCTTACAAATAAATAGGTAAATTAATTCTGATGCAAGCCAAGCATAATTGAATTTGAAAACGTAGTTTGTCTAAATTAATTAACATGTATCAGAAGTTTCAGTAAGAGTCATTATCTCATAAATTGCAACTTAACTATCCCACACGGATACACATTTAGCTTTAGAATTTTTTAAATGCATCCTGCAAAGCATTTGCTCATACGCAACTTATTCTTATAAATACATGAGTATGATTTTGATGTAAGCCAAACAATGTTCGGACAGTCTATTTTTTTTAAAAAAAAAAATTTGTGGTATCATAAAAATGTTTCTCAATCAATTTTTTGTTTTTAATTTTCAATTATCTTTTCACCTAACGTACGTCATATGCCAAAAAGGTAATACAGTATTATCTTGAAAATCTTGCTCTATCCTAAATATTAAGATTTAAAGTGCTCCGCTATCAAGAAAGGCCCATATGAACACAAAGCCTGACACGGTCCGCATGTGTTCGTCCCGCAGTCGGCCAAACATGCACTACTACCTATAAAAAAAAAAATCAGTGAAAAATCAGGACCGATAGTAGGAGTACGGTCTATTTTAATGAACGGATAGGAGGTCATGGAGGTTAGAACCAATGCATGGAGGTTTCTTGAAACATTTTGGTAGGTTGTAACAAGCCTTAGAGGTTTCGAATTGCTCTATGCCATTCAAAAGTCTTGGAGAATAGTCTAAAGATTTTAACTGAGCTAATTATCGGTGAAGTGATAGGGAATCTAAATGGATTCTTAGCAATTTACATTATGGGTTGGGTCAGTTTTTTTGTGTTTGGTTATCCAATAAACGGCCATGTAAACTTACAAATGGAGAGAATAATTTGTCACTTTTTGCTGTTTTGAGGTTTTATGCATATAGTTTGTCAATTTGAATATGAACGTTCCTTGCCAATTTTTCGTGCTGAAGCGCCCCTTTAACTTGCACCATTTTTATAACAATACTTACTATGTTAACTTAACTTACTACCTTAATTTGAGCAAAACTTACAATTCAATTATGCATTTTCGTCAAGAGAAGAAACTCCATCATTTTATTGACAACACAGGGTAGTATGGTACAATTAATATATAACCACAAATAACAAACAAAAAACTCAAAAGACTAAAGCCTTCAAGCTTTAAAGCATGAACGAGGCGATTTAGAGCATGCAAATTTTTTTGGCCCTTGACCTTACAACTATATCAAGTTTTTTATCAATTGCTATTAGCGAATGCTACGAATTTTAATTTTCATATTAGCGAATGCTAATATGAATAGTTCAAAAAAAGAAAATTAACTTTTATAAACTAAAATCAATACATGTATCATCGTAAACTAATACACTATGTTGAGTCTTAGGGGATTACTCAATACATGTATCCTTAGGAGATTAGTCGGGCCCCATAAGAATTGACCCGAACACCCCTGTGTAGACAAAAAAAAAAATAATAATAATAATACACTATGTTGAGTCTTAAACTTGGACAAAACTGTATAACCAACATGAGAAAAATCAAACATTTTATGAAAGGTCAAGTCCACAATCTTCTATTTTTAATCACAATTGTCTCCATTTAATGTTTTCAGTTAGTTGTATATACATTGGGTCTCGACTATTGGGTTTTTTAGGATATTCTTACTAAATCGTATTGAGTTATTCGATAACTATTCGTTGATATCAAACCCTAACAAATAACCCATTGATCGTCCAATTGAATTAATCGTTGGGTCGGGTATCCAACAGACATCAAATTTTACCTTTGCCATCTCTAAACATTCTACATTTTTTGGTGTACGTCAAATTGGTCAGCTGCCCTTGGAACTCTAGATCATGACTGGATCTAGTCATAGAGTATTGGCAGAGCCACATTGAACCCAGGGGGTGCGATTAGAAACTGTAGAATAGTCTAAAAATTTTTTTAGATATTTTACTAGAAACTTTAGAATAGTCTAAATTTTTTTTAGATATTTTATTATTGTTTTGCTTTTGTCCCATTTGAAATTTGACAGTAATGGAACCTTGAACGAAAACATATTATAGGTTACTTTTTCTATTACTTTTTTTAAAAAAATATATAGTACAGGAGAATTCAAACTCGAAACCTCTTATTTACACTCCCTCACCCAAACCACCCAACTCATTCATCTCCTTTCACTGTCTAATAAATGTTATTTATGTTATACTGAACTTTATTTAAATATTCAACTATCTTTAATTATAAGTGAATCAAACACTCATTTGAAGTTCAATTGTGTATAAATTATTCATAAATCTTGTATTCATATCTATAATTTTAATTACTATACAATTTTATTCCATCAGATGACCTGGCAACTAATAAATCCAAAGCCTCAGATTATTTGTTTTTAAAAATTTTGTAATATTGATTATTGAATAAATTAATTTTTTATAACAAATATTTAATTGTTCCAAAAATTTTTGAACCAACATATTATAAGTATAAACTTATGTTATTTCATCTCTAAACAAATGTTCTGGCTCTGCTACTGTCCAACACTCATCATGGGATGGATCTTGCTATTGGACCCTTGTGCTTCAACAGTGCAGGTATGTATTATAGGCAACATCCTCTTTATCTCTGTCTCCAAATATCTATATATTTTTTGTATCTATAAATCATTTATTTTACCTATATCTCTACTACAGAAACAATATCAGATGCACTGTTGTGGTTTCAACTTCAATTTTGTTCTTAATAAAATGCTATTATCTCTGATTTAATTCTTTTCGGTCATGATATCCAAAAGGTGACATAAACAGTTGTCAGTGCAATCACTCTGAAATAGTTTTGTCCATTTCAATAAAGTGTAAGTTCACTTCTTCAAGATGCAAATAACTTTAAACGCAATATAGTTATAGAATAATTTTTTTGTGGATCTCACACAAGGCATTGAAAACAATTTACATTACATGACTTGAACTTCAGAAATTATTTTTTGGGGCTAATCTACACAGTCAAACTTGGGGAACGAATGCCTACTGCAATCCTAATTCACTGATTAGGGTAGGTATGTCTCTCAATTAATTGACATGTATCTGAACTATTCAATATGTCTAGCGAACTTCAACTGCTCGTTTAATTGGCAGAACCATCCTACATGTTTCACATGTTTGGCTCTGAAATTGGGTAGATGCGTGCGACCAAGGATTTGCTCGCACTTATTATTATTGTAAGTAATGAAAGTAATATATGTAGATGCAAGTCACACATTTAATTCGATCATTAAGGTTGTTTGGAATTGATCCTTTGAATTTAGTAGCCTATGGATATGGTGATCTAAGTCGTTGGGAATTCTTGGGCAAGCATTACCGTCGTAGATCCTACTCTATAGACAAAGACATATGGGATGGGAAGTCCCCAATACCTTACCTAGTTCAAGTAGGAACATAAATTAGGTGATGAAGGTTTCTTCCCCAACTTTTGGGATGATAACATTGGTTATTTCATTAAAAAAAAAAAAAATTCTTTGCTTTTGCTCCTCCTTTTCGTAGAATCTTCAATGAACCAAATAATAATAATAAAAAGAGTACGTGAGAATAATATAAAGGGACAGGCTAAATTCACTTCCCTTTGACCTAAATCTGCACTCCTAATACATTAATGACTTGCACCATAAACATTGATAACGTGTATCATTAGTATTGGAAGTGGTACTCCCTAAGGGGCGTGGCTTTGATTGTTCTATCATTAATGTGCCCAACCTATTGTTTGGATCATTTTCCTCCTAAACGGATATGTATACCAAGAAAGGATCGGTATTTATGTTGAGCGATGAGGTTCCACATTGTTTAGAGGTCGATTTGCCAGAGGGATGGCGTATAGAACTGAATGGATTTTAGTGAAATTCCTTCCTGTTTATCACCTGTGTTCTACAGGGATTTGGCTAAATTAAAGTAATGAGAATTGGAGTTATTGTGCGTGTATGTGTCTGTTTACACACACACATCTATACTGCATATAAAGGTTGAGGGAGGGATCTGGAATTAACATTTATCGTCACTTTATAAACTTTCGTATTTGTGCTTATAAAAGTTACTTTTACTTTAACTATCTATAACTACTCATGATTATTTTTACTTTTAAATATATGTTTTCAACATAACTATTCATAAACATTATAACTATCAATATAAAACTATTTTACCAAAAAATATTTAAAAGATTATAGTTTCCTTCAATAATAAAAATTTTATTTAAAATATATTACCATAAATATTATAGTACATTTTTTGAGGTGTGCATTGAGCACTAGTATGTATAATGTTGCTTCTCTTGTACAATTACTACAACTAAATCAAGCTTTTTTAAGTTAATTTACAAATCTATGATTTG